GGTTCGATTCCCGGTCAGGGCACATGCCCGGGTGGCGGGCTCGATCCGCGGTCGGGGGCGTGCAGGAGGCAACCGATGGATGACGACTCTCTCATCATTGATGTTTCTATCTCTCTCTCTGAAATCAATAAAGATTTTAAAAAAAATGCTAACGATGCACTAGACAGGATGACCTGGGGGCCTCCCTCGGTTTCAGGCTCCCCAGCGGCTCAGGGTTCGAGGGCCCGGCGCTCACCAGCACTTCCGCATCCCCCTGCACGAATTCCTCGAAGACCCGAGTCACCTGCTCCCGGCTTCGCGTGGTCTTGAAGTCGGTGCTGCAGGATCCGTCGGCTTTCTTAAGGAGGTGGGACAGGAAGTGTCAGGGGCCCCGCACCCGCCAGAGGGGAGAGGATCAGTTAGAGCGGCGGTACCTCCTGGACATTGGAGGCCAGAGTCAGCGAGACGGCCGCCAGAGGGTGCNNGCCGCGGTGTGGGGCTGGCGTGGAGGAAGGGCGGGGCTGTGCGAAGCAGAGCGAGCCTGGCCCACCTTGATTCCCTCGATGCGGAAGCCTAGCGTGGTGCTGGAGCTGATGCCTTCTCGCCACTGCATGTAGCGCGGCTTGGTGACCGCGCGCTGCGCGTGCTCCTCCTCCGTGGGCGCCGCAGGGTCCACCGCTAGCATCTTTTTGTACATGTCCTTCCGCAACTTGGGCCGCTCGCGGGCCTTGGTCAGCTCCTCTTCCAGGTAAGTCCTACGGAGGCGCAGGCGGCAGACTCACACCGGGACAGGTCGGGCACGGCCCTGGGCCCCGCCCGGTGGTCCCCGCCCCGCCCGGCCCGGCCCGGGAGCGCGCGCGTACCTGATGCCCATCTTGCAGTCAAGTACGCAGGGGCCGTCGAATCCGTCGAGCAGGTCCTGCAGCTGCAGGTAGCTCTCGCCGTCGCGCTCCACCACGCCGTGGAAGGCGGGCACGCAGCCCCGCAGCGCGTCGGCCATCAGCCGCGACAGGCAGTAGCGCTCGGGCTCCGAGCTGCGCTTCAGGATCAGCCCGCTGGTGCCCGCCGCCTTGAAACTCCCTGCAGACGGGCACCAGTTAACTCTGCCTCTCCCTCCCTCGCCCGCCCCACCCGCGCCGCCCGTGCTCACCCGTGTGCCCGGCCAGCTGCACCCAGGAGTAGCGCTTCTTGAAAGGGCTCATGACAGGCAGATTCACCATGGTCCGGATCTTCTGCCAGTGGCTTTTCTGAAAGCAACACGGTCCGGGCCTGCATGTCCAGCGTCCGTCTGGCCAATGCATAAACCCTCCCTCCTCAGGACAGGGACTCGGCCCGCCCCGCCCCACCGCCAGCAGGTAGGGCCCGATGATTCATTCATTTGTTCTCTCGGGTAAGTTTATCGTGCGCCTGTGTGGTGACACTGAGACACACAGGGTGGTGACGGATATCCAGCTCCTCGATTGTGCTGAAAAGAGCCCTGGACTTGGCGTGAGAAGGCTCAGGTTTGTACCCCAGTTCTGCAGCTCAAAAGCTGGGCGGTCAGGTGACTAAACTGCTAGGTCATTGAAGCTTTAGAACTTTTGTGAATGTGAGAATCACCTGATGACCACCCCTGTTAAAAAATGCAGATTCTTGGGTTTACCACAGGGAAATTCTGAGTAGGTCTGGGTTGGGACCAAAAATTTGCATTTTTACCAATGCCTCAGGATATTTTGGGGCCTGAGAAACAAGCCCCTGAGCATCAGTTTCTTCATCTGTAAAATGGGGAAATAACTGCTCTCACTGGGTTGTTGTGAGTAGTATATGAGGCTTGATTGTGACAAACTCTCCTCCAACCTCATTTCTTGGCATGAAGCAGAAGCTGGACAAATCTGGATTGTTTTTAAATTTATTTTGAGTGTACATTTATTAAAGCTGGGGACAGTGAAACAAGGGAGGGCATAGAATAGAAGAAGCAACGAGAGAGAGACAAGGCAGGGCTGCTTTGGTTCACTAGAAATGTTATGGAGGAGAAATNCAGGGCACATAGGTTGTGGTTCAATCACCCATCGTGGGTGCACGTGGGAGGCAACTGATAGATGTTTCTCACTCACATCAATGTTTCTCTCTTTCATTCTCTCTCTCTCAAAAAATCAATAAAAATGGTGAGGGTTTAAAAAAAAAAAAAAGGGGGCATGTGTCCAAAAAGGCTCCTGGAGAAACATTCTTTGGTGGGTGGGTGATGGATGACTTGGGCACATAAACAACAGCAGGGAAGATATTTTGAGCAGGTTAGGCTTTTATTCTATGGATCTCAGAAAGCAGATTTATTATGTTACAAAGTGAAATCTACCTGAAAAGAGGGCCAAAACCCCATCCTCTGGCCCAGCCTACTCGCTACGGAAGTCTGGAAAACCAACTCACAGCCACAGGCTACCTGAGCATCTTAGGGCAAAAAGCCCAGGAGAGCTGACCCATGTCTTTAACAAAGTCACAGGTAGACCCTATGATAATTCCTCACCCCTAGGGCTGAACTAGGAGCATCTCTCTCTGGGCACAGCTTGGCTAGACACTAGCTTCTGACTCTTCTTTATCTAAGCTCCATTTGGAAGCCCCGAGGACTCCTGCTTTTTATATCACATCAGATACTCAGTGTATCTTCTGCCAGAATGGACCCTTTGCTCTGCCTTTGGTACTCATCCCCATGGTTGCTGACTCCCACTCCCTCCCTCCAGCCATCCAGCCCCAGGCTGAAACTCTACCAGCCCAACCCCCTCCCCGTGTTCCCATTGCCCTATCAAACTAGCACTCCCTGTGGTGGTGGTGGTGGAGATGGTGGTGGTGGTGAAAGCAATCAGTTTAAATTTATAAAATCATTTGCACTAAGGTATTAGTGACCCACGACTTCACCCTCCCCAGGGCGTTTACTTTTTAAAAAGGAAGTCGGTTAACCTAAATTCTGCTCTATAATTAGTGAAAAGTGAAGTATGGGAGTTCTGGGTCCAGGACAGGATGGCATCCAGGTCTCCTTACCCATCCCGGAGCACTGAGAGAACCAAATGAACAGGAGCCAAACACCCTCTCTTCTGCTAGAGCAACACCCAAAATTGTTTTAAGAGGTAGGCAAGGCCTAAGGTACAGTCATGCCAGCTGTCCTTGGGGATAGGCTCCCACCCCCACCCCTTCCCCTACCTGTATGGGTTTCCCCTTGCCCATGACTTTTCCTTGTACTAAAGGAAAGGCCCAGGGAGGGAGGCAGGCTGTCCAGCCCCAACTGCCCTGTGGGAAGCAAGGCTCCTGGCAGGCTGTTGGGGGCTCTTAGGAGAAAGGGAAGGTCGTATGTGCCTGGCAGAGGCAAGGTAGAGCTTCCCCTGGCCTCCTTCTGCTCTGGCTATTCCGTTATCTGCTCAGGCCGGAGTGTAGAGGGCCGGCGACCCGGCAGCTCCTGGGTGCCACCGCAGTGCCCTTCTCCCAGGCGCATCGTAACGGTCAGGCAGCCCACGGGCTCTGCTTCCTGCCTGGGGGAGCCCTGAAGGCAGCCTGGGCGGGCGCTGTGCCGCTCCCGAGCCCGGACCGGCGCGAGGCAAAGTCCGCGCCGAGCCCTTCCACGCGGACGCAGGCGGCCTCTGTCAACAGTCCCGGGCTTATCTGCCGCCGCCGTGGCTGTTTGCCTTCGGGGAGGCCCCGGCGGCTGGGGGTTGGGGAGGCCTGAGAGACGCAGCCTTGGAGCCTTGGAAGGGCCTTCAGGAGGCCATCTGCTCCAGCTCCTGGCCAAGTGGGAGACGGCGAGGCCCAGGGTGGGGGAGGCGGGCCGAAGGGCCAAAGACGACCGGGGCACAGCGGCGACTGTCCCTGGAGTTGACCCCCGCCGGGCTGCCTAGGTTGCGCACAGGCTTGGGCCGCCGGACCTCCTCCACCCACGGGCGTTAGAGGGAAGCCGGGGGCTGCCTTCGGGGCGCCCCTCCTCCTGCGCCCGCCTCTCGGTTGTCAGAGATTTGAGCGGGGGAGCCGTGGACCCAGATACTGCTCCGGATTCATCGAGGAGGCAGAGAGGGAGGAGACCTCCCACTGCCCCACATTCCACCCCCTTGGAAATTCCACCCCGTGGGTGGCACCCGCCTCCCTACGTGGGCCAGGGTTGCACTGGGAACGATCGTGGGTCAGGGGCATCCTTACTCCCGGGAGAGGAGAGAGGGACTCCCCGCACCCTACACCTGGCGGCGGGGTGTGTTCCTATTCTGAGACTTTTTTTTCTTCGGTGTCACAAACCATGCCACCCTCTGGGTAATGTAAGTCTCACGGGGTAACTGAGTCACGGATCCACTGCAAGTCGTTACAGTGTCTCCCCGCCTCGTCCAATCGTAGCGCGCGGCGGAGCCGGGGTTCAGCAGGCGGGGGCCGCGCCCA